CTATGCATTATAAATTTATAGATTGTGACGTGATTTCTCGATTCACGGTCACAAGGTGACTCCGGCTACCGATACAGATAACGTTCCCGCTTTCGGGTTCCCTTCGGGTCGCCACCCTGCTCAGAAGCTACGCTCTCGGGTTGATTCGTATAGTTATGCCAATGCTCTCGTAAGATTTCGTTATTGTTTAGTTGAGGTCGAGGTGCTCGAATCTGCCGTGGAGAAGCGACCGTAAAGGATCTCCAAAAGTATTGCGTACCGATTCTCTAAGGAATGCTCTCTATTTGGTTTAAAGGGTCACCTCGAGGGAGATGGAAGAGTTATCGGCTATTAGGATCTCGCCCAATCGGAATGATTAGTTCTCGAATTTGGTTTTTGTCAAAGCAGTCTGTCTCGGGGCACCGACCGAGGTGTCACGGCTGTCACGGCTGTCACGGCTGTCTCGCGCTCGCGTGTTGTCTGTTGACAGTTTTTCCAGCTGTGTTTCGATCCGCTATAGAAAGTTCACGCTCGTGTAGTTCTCGCGTTGCTCTCGCGATATCCAGGAAATTCAGTGGATTTCCTGTGAGTGTTCCGGAGGTGTAGTGTCGTGCCCCAGTGCAGTGCCCACCCGAGTGTCCTCTGGATGCAGTTCTCGGCCTTTACGGATTAGCTGCACCAGCTCCGGTGAGTCTGCCAATTTATTAATTGGTGAAGGGATTTCGACTTGATACGTCCGATTCGTTCTGTTACATTCTCGATCCGTTGCTCTCTGTATCTCGCGCTATTTGCCCGGCGCGTACTCCGACCCTTTTCTAAATTTTCTAGAGATTCTGAAGCTACGAGAATCGCGTCTCCCAGTTTTAGAAATGTTCGCTTGCAGGCACGAATTTCATCTGCAACGGGAGTTACTACTTTGTAGAGCGGCTGAGGTGGAAAAGCAGCTTTCAGTTGCAGGGTAGCAAAGTGCTAGATAAACATGTGATGGATATTGTTTGATTTATGCGCGACGCGCGGGGACGCTGCAATCTCCCGAGCGATTCGATCCTAGAATCCCTTTCGCTTCCTTCGGAGGCTCTGCGACAGCCGTGCCTCGATCTGCCACTTTCAGACTGAGAGCATTTAGCCTCAATTGTCCAGTGCACGCGCACGCGTGTACTCACGCAAAGAAAAAAATCGCAGCGTATCCATAACTGTGCCGAGACGTGGCTCAGCTTGCGCTTAGGACTTATTGTCCAAGTGCCGACTGCACGCAACACCTCGCAGATTTATGAAGCTCTTGCAAGCATGGAATTCCCGGTTAGAGTATCCAGAAGGGAATTGACTTCCCACGACTGAAAAGCACACCGTGAGTCTTCACTTCATAGGATGCATGTAGATAGTCCAGGAATATACTAGAGGCTATTTACATTGTTGACAGCTTATTCGTTGCCGAGATTTATAATCGAATCCTAAAATCCTAATCGTTAAAAGTGAAATCGAGCGTATTTAATTTCTCACGATAAACGCAATTCGAAAGTCCAACGGAAGGATTCAGACTTGGATTTGGAATCGGGAAATGGAGTGGACTGTAATCTGTGGTAACAGTCGTACATATAATAAAGAAGATATTTGCGTTAGAAATTTGGTAATTTTTTTGGCAGACTTCCGATACCGGCGGAATGTCGTATCTTCGTGCAGCAGCTTCACGCCGAACGTGCGATTTGCAATTGTTTTGAGGTATGAAATATTAAAAAATAATCAATATTTGACACATGAGATTTTCCAAATTCGCGCACCTTTTCACCGTAAACCGGAACCTTGCATCTTGGTTGATGCACTCTATATACATATACATATGCCTGCTGGTGAAATCGTCATGTAGTAGTTCCTCCTTTTCTTCCTGAGGGATGATCTGGTGCAGGCGGCAGGGAGAATGCGCCCGGGTGAGATATACGACTGTCGAGTAAAAAGGCATCGTTACCGGCGGAGGCTCATTAAGCGGAACTACCCCCAAGACAGCCCTAGCAACACCTTCGCTCCCAGCTTGCTAGTTGGTGTGCTGGGCTGAACAGAGGGCCAATACTAATTAGAGCCCTGCCTCTTCTTTTCTCTTTCTCTCTCTCACACACGCTTACATACACTTACCCCCTAGGCTGCTCGCCGTTACGCTGATGGATTCTCTTGATTCGTTTACAACCCCCCCCCCCCTCGCCATCCTCATTGAGCTTGCTCTTCTTTTGCCTCTTCTTCTTTCTTCACTCTTATTTTCCTCCATTCGCCGTGAATAGAGGAAAATGAATTATCATGCAATTTTTTGAAATGGAGCGCATCATCGAATCCCGCGGGTCCATTCAAAATCTCCTGGGATAATATACGGAGGACTGGAGCGAATGAGAGAAGGAAATTCCTTTCCGACGCACTTTGAGCTTCCCGCTGACACATTTCTCCGAGGCTAACTGTAACGCATCCGCTAGCCTCCCTCCTCTTGCTAGACTCAGTGTCCCTATCTAACTCGTAAGGTCTCCCTCTCTTTCTCTCTCTATCCCCTATAGGGATTTGCTACATTGGGACTCGGAGTTTGTAATCCTCTCTGGGCTCTTGTCGTCCTCATCCTTGCAGCTCCTACGTAACTGACGAATTAAAGGGAAATGAAGATTCTCCGAGCGAATGATGCATACAAAGCAGCCCCTCAGCGCGCTTTCGAGTTGACCTAAGCAGAAAATGGTAAATCTTTTAGCTGCAAAGCCGAAGACTGGAAAAGCCCCTCTGGTTATTACCACCCCGCAAATTGCGATGGAAATAGTTTATTCCCGGCATCGTAACCTGTTCCCTGGAAGAGCTTCCTGCAACTGCTCAGCGGGGCCGAAGATAACGATACCGAGAAAGGCTCGCAATACTTTTCCCCTATTTCGCCACTTCAGGCTACTTCAGGCTACTTCAGGCCACTTCGCGCCACTTTGCTCCATACTTAGCCATTCGCTCGCTCCTACTTCTTCGTGTAGCCAGAGCTAAATATCGCAGTCAAGGATAACAGCGACACCCGTTTCCCTTTTGGGCGATGTCGCTCGCTTATTGCGCATGGCTATGATAATAATAATAATCTGTCCCGAGTGCGACCCGCTTCTCAAGTAGCGAGAGTTACCACCCAGTGGTATTCCGAGGGTGCCAGCAGCGAGAAAAGCTCAGAGCTGTTTGACAATGACGAAGGAACACGAAAGGAAGTCAAGGGTAGTCAACGGTGGCCAATGGTAGCCAGGGTAGCACCTTTCCAGGCTCAGTGCGACGTAAGCGAACCCACTCCCGTACTGAATTATAGTTTTACTCTCGCAATTTCGTCTGGCTGATTCCGATACAATTCTTTATAATGCCGAGTGCTTTGCAGTGGACGCAATATATGTATGTCCACTTGATATAATTCCGCCCGACAGAATCGGATCCTAACGAGTTTACGAATCCAAATCGGATTTCGCCCCAAAGGAGGGAATTCGACCACGAGGGATGGAAGCGTGTAAGAGCTGGAAGATATTTAATTTCCCTCGAGCGGCAGGCTGGCGAGGAGGATGAATTGCAGATATAAAAGGCGAGAAATGATAACCGGGCTTACGGGGTTGGGAAACGCTTGGGACAAAAGGGAATGTTAAAAGATACGGGAACGTATTTTAATTTACATTTTAATGGCTCGACTTCCGCCTTTTCTCCACGGCTCGTGCCCGCAGAGAAACAATTCGAAAGTCAAACCGAAACTCTACTTTACTGCCTACTTATACGAGCGAGCACCAAGTGTCACACAGCTTACGCAATTCCTAGCGCAAATCTGCGCTTCCGGAAACTCTCTACTCTCAGCTCTTCGAGGTATTCGCGCGACAAAAAAAAAAAAACATTACGACTGCTCCGACCACGCTTTGGGATTCGCTGCTTTCTTGTGTTCTTCGTGAGCTCGTATGCGACATACGTAATGCGACGACTGAACGGCTGATCCCAAAGAGCCAGGGAAGGCAGATGATGCTCTGCTGCTTGGAACTGATGCTGTTGTGCTACTGGGACTTTTCCAATATTATTGTTTTTCTTGGTGATTACGGTGACAGGACAGGACGTAGGTCTTCCTTGTCACGTTGTCACGTTGTCACTATATCACAGTCTTATCGCAATCGGTGCAAATATGGTCCTAGACGGAAACTCATCTGTTGTGGATTCGAAAATGCTTTTTAATAAACTTCGTGGTTCTCCGTGGCGTCTCGTGGATGCTGACGGTTTCAGCTGGTATAATTAATTGCATTCCTCTGTCTTCTCTCTTCGGGTTAGAAATTAGTTCCGTCGAGTCGCAGAAATTACTCAAGGAGGAGGAGAAGAAGAAGAAGGTAAAAGTCAACGAGAATTGGACCAAGAAGGGTAAAAAAGGTATGTCATGCGAAACTGAGGAAAAGTGGGAAAAAGAAAAGTGAGAGAAAAGGGGAAAAGAAAGAAAAGAAGGAAATGATGGATCCCAGAGTTGAGTTCGAAGTAATAGCAGCCCGTTTCTTAATTATTCTGAAATGAATCAGCCGGCCTGGAGAAATTATACGTAGCCGTTAACGAGGGGGCCGATACAGCATCCTGCTCCCCTGCTGGGCTGCAGAATATCTGCCTCTATAAAAACATGCGTTTCCGCGCCACCGTTTTCCTTTCTTCATTCCCACTAGAACTACGATTAGTCGAATCATTATGTAGATGCGGGTACAGCTGGGCCACAGCGAACGCACGTACTTCTATAACTGTTGGGGTCGGTTCGAGGCAACCCTTAACAGCCCTCGGAACAACCCCTTGAGCCCCCTTGCCCCTCGGCCAATGGTACTACCAAAACTCGCTGTACTTGGAGCCCAGTTCGTGCTTTTGTCGGGGGTCCCGTGTGGTCCAGCAGCAGCAGCAGCAGCAGCAATAGCAGCGGAATGCGTGCGAATGCTAGGGATTGTAAAAAAAGGCATTTAATCGATCCTACATAAATCGATTATCTCGAATGCACATGTTCGATAAATCTTAAGTCCGCGTCGCTCTGATTTCAGGTGTCCTGGATGCGGAAGCGCGATTTACATATTCTCACGTCATCGATCTACACATACACATCGGACAGTCGATTTTCCGTGATGCATCCTGAAACGACGGACGAGTGGAAATTGAAAATCGCCTTCGTTCAGATGAGAGACGCCGGGATCTACGAGTGTCAGGTGAACACGGAGCCCAAGATGAACCTGGCCTTCGTCCTCAACGTAGAAGGTACCTAACCACCTATAAGGCAACAGCCAGATAAGAAAAAAAAAACAAAACGTGTGACACGAGGAAAAGTCTTACTGATGATAAGTTACATGTCGATAGCGCGCACATTGTCATTGCTTTTCCGAAGGGGCGAGAAGTCACTTAGCACGCGCAGACACACCCTGCCAGTAGAATAAAGTAGAATAATCCGCCAGGGCATGCAAAGAGCATTCGACGAGCGGGAGCTTTTCGCTTGTACTGTACACACGGAGTAGTTTGCAATCGATAACGCGATAACTGATAAGTGATAAGGATCACGCATCGATGCGATCGAGCATTTGAGAATTCACGAGGGGATAACAATGGAAGAAGATGAAAGCGCGTCGAGAGGAATTTTCTCGCTCTGTCTCAAATCTTTCTCATCTTCTTCATCTTTCTCGCCCTCAGTACCTTCATATCGTGCTCTTCTTTTCTAAAATTCTATCGCTCTACGAAAATGTGGTCCCAATATACGGGAACGTGGTGTGAATCCTCCCTGTAGCTGCCGAATTTTCAGACGCGACGTCTCGATCCACCATCAGGAATTCGATTAACTCGATATCTTTTTTCTCCTACCGTTCCAGAACGTGCCCCTGTCCCCGTCGCCGCACCGAACGCTATTGACCGGACGTTCAGCTCATCAGGTTAGAGAGACACGTCGCAAGACTTTATCAAGCTTCTCGAAATCTCGAGTCGTGAAAGCTGCGCCCATAGCCCCACAGCCTCCCACAGCCACCCACAGCCACCCACAGCCACTGTACATGCCGCCCAGTGCATGAGTCCTCTCGTGCACGTATGTACTTGGACTTACGATTAAATGCAACATAGATTCGCGAATCCATCGACTGGTGCATCGTTGCGCAAAATCAAGGCGAATCACTTGTCAGCGCAGAAATGCGACACTCGTAGAGATATCGCGTAACTGGCCAGGCAGGAGATGTCGAGGGGTCGAGGGGTCGAGGGGTTCAATGGGCTTAGGGGGCTGCTAAAGGGATTCGGAAGTCTCAGGCTGAGGCTAAGGGCGAAAGTGTTTAATTTGAGAAGCGCATGAGCCGTCGCGCAATATGCCCACCTGCCCCACCTGCCCCACCTGCCCCACCTACCCTGCTGCTTTTGATCAGTCGCTCGTAAAGCCGCAAAAGTGCAAAAATCTCCCAGACAATTTGCACTCGCATGACCACCACACTGCTCGCTTGCTCTCTCTCTCTCTCTCTCTCTCTCTCTCTCTCTCTCTCGCTCTCTCTCTCTCTACGCTGTACTCTCTAGTTCTCCTTCTCATCTCCATACATGGTTCCATTAAAATGCGTCTGCCTGCTGGACCACGCGCTGTTAGATACACTTTGTCTATTTGGTTTTCCTGTCTTCCGTTTCAAATGTTTTTCGTCCTTTTCTTTTAGCGAGACTGAAAGGCAAGTGGGGGGTGAGTGGGTGGTGAGAAAATATCGAGACGGGCTTTGGACTTTTCGAAACTCCCTATCGATTGCCAGAGAGGCCCTAAGGCCTTTTTCGAAATCCCGAGCAAACTTTTCTCGCCATGTTCGACGGAATCGAATCCTGATCGATCGATAGTCAATACCCCCCGTACACACGCATTACATTACGCATACGTGTAGACGGACACACCTTGAGTCTATGCAAATACAATTGTTACGGAAGTTTTACGTCCGCCGGCACATTGTCATGATCTTACGTTGCAAACGCGCTGTCTGTATCCTGGCGACCAGCGCACGAGAGAAAGCAGGAAAGTCTATAAGCAACATCCAGAAATCCAGCTGCCAGCTGCGAATTCTTAGTAGACACAGGAGTTGCCGAGAGGCCTCCATACGAATGAATGGGTACAAGGATATCAATAAAAGATCGAAGCCCCTCTCGATAGATCTTCCCTCCATTGTCCCTCACCGGAAGCCGCCAACCGCGCGACCATTACAGGACGATGATGTCTGTGTTTCAGCGGCCCAGGCCAAAATTCTTGGCCTTGAGGATATCTACGTTAAGAAGGGCAGCACCATAAGTCTCACGTGCACCGTGAACGTGCAGAGCACGCCACCGAGTAGCGTCTCGTGGTTCCGGGGAGATGACGTCATCGATTTCGACAGTCCCAGGTACTACTACTAATGCTACTACTATTAATAGTAATGCTACTACTGAAAAGGGGAAAAGAATACATTCCTCTCCCGAGGAGAGAAAACGAATCCTGCGAACTTGACGACACGCGTCCTGTCAAAGTAGGCCTGCAGATTTGAAAAGGTCGCGGTGCAAAAATCACGTTGACGAAGGTCGCTGTCGCAAACTCGCAATTCGCTGGGTCGTATGTCTGGGTCATTGACTTGCAATGTGCGATGTCTGGCTGAGAATTATTGTGAAAAGCACAAAAAAGTATGTTTGATAATTCAGCGTTCATCACAGGGGCGGCGTTTCCCTCGAGACCGAGAAGACGGAAAGCGGCACCACGAGTAAACTCCTGGTGACACAAGCGCGGCTGAGCGACAGCGGAAATTACACGTGCAGGCCGAGCAACGCGAATCCTGCGAGCGTCATGGTCCACGTGTTGAACGGTAAGAGTTGAATTCGCTACACACGTATCTATACATAATTCACGAGGGCACGAATAAGTGGTAGAATGCGAATCAGCATTCGTATTCTCAATCCCAATGAATCTGACAATACCCGTGCAGCTTCCAGCTTCCAGCTTCCAGCTTCCACATTCCTCCCGTAGCCTATCTAGTAGGTCTTCTCGCTTCTGCCAAATTCTTAAGAATCCTAATGTTCTCGAAGCAGCTACTGCCAGACTTGGAGAAATGTTGTTTCCCGTGTAGAGCTGCTGGCTGCGCTGTGTATCGAGCGAGTCTGGCGAGAGACGTGGATTACAATGGCGCGTTACCCGTACACGTGGCTACACATGCATTAGCCAGGAGCGAGGAAGTCCGTTATGTTAGGCCAGTGTAGGAACGACAGGCACGCCGCAGGACGCTACAGGACGCTACAGGACGTTACAGATTGTATGGGGGGGCCGGCCGAAAATTAATGCAGTACCGTTCGTCTGCATAATTAATTTACAACGGGTCGAAGTGGCCGCATTGGCGGCCATTGACGTTATTTCAAACATAGCTGATTACTCTGCAAAATTGACCGCAAATTTCAATTATTTCCCGATAACCCTCATGTACTAGCGCCAGATCGCACTCGTACCCAGCGTTCCCTGCTCTCTTTGCACTCCTGTGTAGCGTAACGCGATATCCGGCAGTCACGCACTATGTTGCGTATTAACGCAATTTTATTGTCCAAATTTCCCAGAAGAGAGTAAGGGGGGAGGGAGCGGAGCGCACACTACTCGCCTGCTCCATCTCCCCCACGTGCTGCCGCAGGTGCCCATAATCATTTCCTTCGGTATAAGTTAGGCGAAGACAATAAAACTCTCGAAATCATTGATTCACTCGCTCCATCCGAATCCCAGTGTGTTTTTTGCTGCTCCTCGCCAAATGGAAATTACATTTGAAACGAGTAAAATCCTCTCGCTGCCGAGTAACATTCGAAGCACTTTTCGTGTAATTTAACGGGGAAATTATTAATTGCTTTTTTACCGACTTTCAGGAGAACATCCTGCGGCCATGCAGCACGGCGGAAGCTGCGGCATCGCGCCGACGATTCTGCAGGCGAGCTTCACGCTTCTGCTTGCGAATCTACTGAGATGAGCAGTTTCCACGTGAACGACGAAACAGCCGGCAGTGCGAGTGACTCGAATGAACTAAAAATCCAAGTTAAATGAAAGGAAACAGTGCTCCGGGAAACTAAGAGCTTTGCGCAAGGAATTCACATGCGCGCACGGTCCCTCAGGTGGAGACACGTCGAGTGTCCGGTCTACGATCTAACCTTGCTAGCCCTGCTAACCTAACCTAACCCAATTCAAATGATCGTGCTACGAGAAAAGCCCGCGCGCCACTTGTAATGTGTTTCATTTGCGTTGCGATCAGCGGAATTACACTGACAATGAGTTCTACGAGTGTCGCTAAAAGTTTTGACGAGTGAACGATTTTCGTATTAACGGGAAACTTTGCGAATGCCGGCAAATCAGTGATCGTTAGATTGTATTAGTTAACTAATCGACTGCAGTTGATTCTCGTATTTCTTGCCCTGGAAATCAAAATAGTATCCAAGCAAATTTTGTCAAGCGACTTTCGTCTAGTCTTCCGAAGACTAGTTAGAGAATTTTTCAAGGATCAACTCGGTTGACACGAAATTACGTGTGTTACGTATGATAAGGAACTAAAGAGTCGACTGTACGCGTAGGGACAGATTGACACGTATTAGCAAAGGTACCTACCTACCGATCACAGTGACTCATGTCGAGAGGCCTGTCGGAGGACCGAGAGGAAAATCATCCTTAAGGATAAAGGGGGAATAGCTTATGTCCTCTTGGTCGATACCCATAATTAAGTTACAGCCAGCGCCGCGGTAGGCAATAGGATTCAATTCTCTGTATATACATAAAGGAGAGGAGGAACACGCGAATAACGGAGCGCGACGCCGAGAAGGTCGTAACGCACTGTTGTACAGTAGAAAAGCTATTCTGAAAATGGTTGAGAAAATAACGATGAAAGAGAGGTTGGTTACGGGGAGAACAGGGAGGGGGGGGAGGAAGGAGGAAACCGAAACGATCTCATTCCTTTTTTTCTTTTTCGAAAAAATCGCAAGTGCTTAAATAATATCGGGAGTTTGATAGGGACGTTGCAAAAACATATTTAAAAAAATAACGTTTGACTCGGAAAACGTTTTTTTAGGACCAGGAAAACGTTACTTTAGGATCGTTGCTTTCGATTCTTTTTTAAGGGCAGCGGCTGACGTTATAGAAAGAGAAAAAAGAAGTATAATTCGATTTCGATTTACTTCTGGAATACGAATACAAACCCGATTAACTGGTGCTCTGCTTAACGTTTTACGATTCACGTTCAAAGGGCCAATGGAAAGGCCAACTTTCTCCTCGAGCTTTGCCCTGATCTGTTTTCTTTTTACTTTTCCTATTCGAAATTCCTTACAGCCGCGTCATTCGTTAATTTCGGACATTTCATCCGTATGATATCGCAATCAAAAAGATCCTATGAAGTCAAGAGCTCGATCAAAGGAAACAATCAAATCGATATTTCTCTTCGTACGCACATGCACGCACTGACAGTGACGTGTGGATTGTATGAAAGGGAAGAAGAAACGTCAACTACCTTAGTTTATACGTAATAGATACATGTTAAATATAGGTATACAAATACGTTTAAGAAATAAGAATATATATATACATATTACAAGTTATAAGTATCCGTTGTATAATAACGAGGGGAGCGATTCGCGGGACGAAGCATTCTCGTCTGGAAATCTATTGTTAATCGAAAGGAAGAGCCAAAGAGATCGGATGAATGAGGATGAATGAGAGAGATAATAAATAAAAAATATAAAAGTCGAAACGACGATGTCCTACGTAGTTTAATTAGTCAAATAATCACGAGACGTATCATCCCTAGACGGGTACACGTGTATCCCTTCTTCCCTGGACCCTTCGAGCCTTCGAGCCTCCGAGCCTCCGAGCCACCGACCGAAAGGTCTTGCTCCCTGGTTAATAGCGTTTCGGATCTGTTTGACCCGGTGTGTACAAGAGGTTTACCCGACTAGGGTAAAGTACGTTTCAGCTGTGCGAGAAGATACGATAATGCACGTAGCAGATGGAATAAAGGAAAAGCGCCGATATAGCACCCTCGTAATTTAATCGAAAGCACAAGAGGGTGTAGGGCTTTTTATACCTAAAGCAACCTAAGGCAACAGGACGAAATCAAAAGTAAACGTAAGGATTCACTTCTTGAATTCCCTTTTTTATAATAAAACGAGATTCATAAACGACCGACTGCAGATTCTGCATACCGGAAGACGACGGCAACTGACTAAAAGTGCGTTACATGTCACGTCTGCTCGCGCCAATTGCCAGAGGATCAAGACGCATTGTACATAGATAACGCAGGAATCGGTGGACATCTCGTTGGGCGATCGCGCGAAGTCACGCAGCCCGATCGGTCGCTGGTAGTCGGTAGTCGGTAGTCGACACCCACCCGCTCCACCAATATTTCCGTCCCTCTCCCATTCCCTCAATCCCTCTTTATCTGTACTGCGAAGATGTCCATCGACGCGAAGAAGCTGTTTCAATAAATGTAACGATTTAAAAGTGGCAAAGTGTTCTTCTACCTCTCGTCATCATCCGCTCGCTATATGGATGTCCCTCTTACTCATGTTTCCTTTATCCTTTCTCTCTCTCTCTCTCGCTCTCTCTCTCTATCTATTTATCTATCTTTTACCGACAGTTACTCTTCCTCTAACAGCCCAGTTTGCACGACTCTTCTCGCTTTACAGCTTTTCTCTTCTCTCTATAAAAATGTATCTTCTCTTTTTTCCTTGTGCAGCTCGACGCTTCGCTAGCGACTATTTTAACCTTCATCTTTTGCAATTTTTGACTGACACTCTCCCACCACTTTTCTTCCCTCACTTTCTCCCGTTAAATTCGGATCACGTTTTTTGTTCACCTCCTCGTTCGCCCCCTTTATTTCATTTGTTCCTCTTCGTCGATGCCCTTACTTCCGCAGACTCGAAAAGCGAACCAAGAGCGAACCAAGAGAAAGCGCGATTTCGTGAAATTCTGCAGGTTCGAAGCGAAAGGAGAACTCGGAAAAAATGGGCTCTGACTCCTGGGTTAAAGGAAAATCCTGTTCGCCCCCGAAAAAGCTTCTAGCTCTCTGCTTCCCTCTCGACGGCTGCTGAAATATCTACCGAACATGTCGGTCTGATCGTGTTTGCCGATATTTTACCGGTTTAATTGTTTTTCGATGGATGCGAGCCATTACGGCTTATGGGCTCTCTGGCTATTTGTTAGCCTGCGAAATTGAATTGCGTTAACCGGCAAGATGGCACAACGCGCAACCCGGACCTGACCTGAGCCCAGCCGAGAGGCCGTACTCGCTTTGGGTCCCATGACAATTTTTCACCTTTTTTAGCGCGGAAACTAATATTCAACGAGGAAGAAGAAGTTGAATCGCATCACGAAATGGCATCTGAAAGAGACGAGTAGACAAAGAGAAGCAAGAGAGCAAAGAGAAGAAACGTGTTGAAAATTTCGTACATATAACGATGTTCCCCAGAGCAGCCGGAATTATATTCTCTGAGTGACGCGCACGGTGGGGTTTTTTTTTGTAACGTCAAACTCGCGTGTTATAGGGTTATTGAGGAGAAAAAATATAAAAATGATGGAAACAGAATAGTCAACAGCCAAGGGCTGTGTATCGGCCGACTCGACAAGGCTCGCTCGAATTGCGCTTTAGCGACATTTATCGATGCGATTCGTTGAACTGAAAAAAAAAAAAGAATTTTCGCGGAACCGATGACGGTTGCGCCGGTGCAACGTGAGGGGTACCATTACGATACTACCACCACCACCATCCTCACGGACCGCCTCTTCCCTCTTCCCCGTAATCCTATCGTTATATTCGCCTCTGCGGATAAACTAACCTTCAATTTCGGGAGTTAAATTTATAGTTGTGCGCCGGGCGCACCGGCACGGCAGCCAATGTGTCCCAGAAGAGCGCAGAGCCGAACAATGCAGTTTTCCAATTTTCACTCTTTGACTACGCGTGTGCGTCTGTCCATGCCTGCCGCACACCTGCCCACTCTTACCTAGTGCAGGTACACGCGAGTGTGTAGGCATGCAGGATACCGGCGAACACCATGACTGCCTCTTGAAAGGCTCTCCCCCTTCCCCCCCTTCCCCCTTTCCCTTCCGCCGCGCCCTGTTAACATTCCATAACCCGGTAATCATAAAGCAATTTGATTCACGCTTTCCGAAAATGGAGCGTTACTTTATATGTTTGCTTTGGCGAAGCTTGAGCGGCACAAAACCTCAACGGATCGTTTTCGAAGCTGGAAAAGGATTCTTACGGAAATTCTTTCGATGTCGCCCAGTCTTATGTCTACTTCTGTTCCAACTGTCCAACCGAAGAACAGAAGTGCTACTCGATTTGGCAAAGCGTCGCGATAATAGTCTTGTAGGATGGAACGGCACTACGATTCAATGTAAATCCCAGAGAACCGGTTGATTTTAACTTACTTTACGCGTCTTGGCAATAGCTATGGCGTCCGCAATGGCGTCGGAGTCGCGAAAGGGTAGCAATACTGCCGTAGTGAGGATATAACGGTAGTGGGTTTTACGCAGCTCCACAGAGCCACCAGCCTGCCTACATGAATAATATTACATTTGGAGGCACCGCCACCCGAAGCGTGTAGCTGTCACTCCGCGCAAGGGACGAGGCGAAGTGTAAAATTCAGCTGGTAACATTTATGTAAAGCGCGGGCCTGGGCGAGAGTGGAAAAACGTAATATGCCCGTCCCGCCACTTCATCCCCCTTCGACTGAGTTACGTTACCAATGCGCAGCTACAAGCAGCACATGCTCGCTTCCCACCCTCACCTTTTACCCCTTTCATACGCAAAGCCTTTGAATCAAATATTTAATCTGTAAACGCCGATAGACGTACGTATAACCCTGTCCCTCTTTTCTCGTAGTTCGCTAAATAAATAATCGTAAAGTCCAAAAAGTTGATGCTCGTGAGGTCTTCCCGTGAGGTCTTTCCACTCTCGTGCGCAACGAGGTTGCTCGCTTATACGTGTACCTGGCAGCCTCCTTTCTCCTTTCCACCCACAATTATTTTCTTACCACGCTTATCCGATTAAACATGTACGTATCTCCCTCGAGTTGCTAAGTGGACCCAGCAGATACTTGGACGCGTACACGCACACCCACGTAGACGTTGCAGCTTAGGACTAGTCGACAGCGTTAACCTTGAAAATCGCAGGCTTGAAGAATCCAAGAACGCAGGGTGCTTTTATTTATATTATAACAAGACTACCTTTGTCTTCCATTGCGATTTCTTATCGTTTACTTACTACGACAACGTTGAACCCTTAAGGGGCCAGTTTGACCATGTACCCTTAAAATAATCCAGATAAATGAAAATGAAATACAATTATGCAGCGCAGAACATAGTACATGGAGGCATAGCCGCGGAATACTGGGAGCGTGTTAATACAAATAAGTCTGAGCCAGGCCGACGACTGTCAGGAGGGTCCACGCGAATGTGCCTTTCATTCTGAAGAACGTTACGTCAGATGCGGATGATACGTATCCAGCATCCCGTTGCATGGCTTCGGTTCTTTCACCTGAAAAACAAAAGAAAACAGAAAGAATGTAATCCACATATATCTCGGACTGCGCAAAATAAATTCTTGAATTTCTATTGTAAGTTTAGAATTTGTTAAGTAACGTTCAGCGAAAGCACGCGTGTACGTATACGGTGACGATTAAATCCGAACGGTGCGTGTGAGGTGGATCGGTCCATTAGATCGGCAGAATTAATGTTCCCCTAATTTCTCAACTGGAGCCACTTAGTTCTGACTGCGCAGCCTGTATCACACGTATGAGCCTACGTGCTGCACGTATGTGCGCTCGGCTAAGCCGTGGAACGGAGGCCACGTCATTATTAGACACATGATTCGTCGGGTCGATACGGAACTTGGCTTAGGGGATACCTGCAGAAATCATCCCTACGGCAGCTCAGCCCTGGAAATTCCTCTCGTGATTTACCAACGGCTCCCTGAGCATATAATAGGGCTTGCGCGCTTTACCAGACAATCCACTATACTATAATACGGCCTCTGTACCTCTTCCTTCGGGACTTACAGAACAACCTGGTTCCGTCGACAATGGACGACAATTGGGAACAAGATTTCAACGTTCTTCTGTTATCTGATCTTCAACGGAAGTATCAACTCACATCCAGGCTCTTCTTCTAATCCATTGGCAATCAAGAAACTCATTCTCCAGCAACGCATTGGCCTCCAGGCCGTCGCCATCAAGAGCAAGAGCAGGATGCAATCGAGTTCTCTCAGCGCCGACTCGGCGGTATACCTTCTACTCTCAATTTCCGAAAAACAAAAAAGAAAAAGGAAGGTCTCGGCGGAATCTCGTAGAAAAATCGCCTCCTCGTCCTATTTTTGCGAGAGCCAAGGCGAGGAGTACTTTGGAGATTTTTAAGTATACATCGGGGTCGACCGCCTCGAACTTGCCCGGTTCTCCAGGAGTTTAATACTTAACGGCTCCCTAGACTGTCGTCCTCGCACCTATCCGCAACCAGCATTATTCCTCTTGCATCTATCGCATAGCCTCCTCTCTTGTTCTCCTGCTTTCACCTTCTCATTTTTATTCATTCTTTATCCTTGCCCTTGTCTTCTAGTCAGCGATATTAAGTTTCTTTTCGGTTAAGTGAAAAATAAAACTTTCGAATTCAGTTTTGCGCTGTGTTCAAAGAATACGAGATTAAGCTTTCTTCTCTCTTCCATAATTCTACCGATCGCAAGGAAGCCGCAGGGTGCCGGGAGAGGGCGTCGCGGAACGTCGTGACGCTACTCGGGAACTTTTTCTACCGCCCCCACGACAGCCCGTAAATCAGCCGCTACACACCTACGTCGACGGCGGCAACAATAAAATAGTTTTATTAACACGAGGGCGACGTGTCGCGGCGAAAGTTTAACAAATAATCGTGTGATTTGTGACTAATGTATACTGCACGCGAATCCTTTGGAAACTCCCAAAGCTCTTGCTGTTCTTCACTTTTCGCACGAACGATCGACTGCAGCTTCGTTGCAAAGATTTCGGTAAGAGCCAAAGGACAATTATCGCCCGTGCGAGAAGGACGGAACGAAGAAGAGGAAGCTGGACAAAGGAAGATCTAGATGAACGGACGGAGAAAGGCTAGTAGTTAAGAAAATTGAATTCTCTGGTAACGAAGACTTTCTTAATTGTTAAGATATTGGGCTTGTAATTGGGGCGGGGCGGGAGGGCCTTGCTAAAAGTAGAATACGTAGAAAGCGTAAAGGAAGCGTAAAGGAAGCAGAATGAAAAGCGGATAAGACGACATGAGAGTTCATTCTGACAGTTCTCCTAGGCTTCTTCCCGGTGCTCAGGATTCTCCTTGTCGCCGGGTACTCGGTTGCCATCCTGGGAGGATAGCGGGAGGCTGCGAGAGGCTGGAGAAGAGGACTGGGAGCGCGAGGGGAGACTGCGGGAGTCCTTGTAAGTTTTGATATATGCGCGACGTTATTTATGGTCGCATAAGAATTAGCTTTTCCCCCGGTACCCTGCAAAAAGCGTCGCCTTCGTCGCGACGCCAGTTTCTCCACGCGACGCTTCCTCAAAAGTCGTTGAAATCGACCAGTGGCGAAGAGACCACCTTACCGAAGATCACGGGACAGCGCTCACCTACATTATGGAGAAGAAACGTCCTCCGAAAGGACGGATAGAACTAACCTGCTTCTACGACGAGGTCAATGACGTCCGCGCGACCCTCCAACGGTCTACAGGAATATTTCCCGACGTCGGCTTCCGTCACAGCGGCCAGCGTCAACTCCGAGACAGTTTGTGCCGCTCTACGGTCGGTCTGCACGTTGATACCACCTCTGGCAGCCTGAAAGCATTGGTGGTGAACAACTTGATAAATTGATAAGGCCGCGCGCGCTGATGCAGCGCGGCAGGCGGTGTCCAGGGTAGGTGTCCAACCTAGGACATACTTGGAATGTGAGTAGTTTGTTGTCCCGGAGCCATTGAACTCCACGAATGAGTCTGGTTTGATATGGGGAAGTTACGACGCATCTCAGAGTTATCGTCGAGCCTGCTGGTACTCTTTGTTCACGGGGTCCCATGATGGCGGCGATTGGGGCCGTGCTCTCGTAACCTGAAACCCACGTTCACCTAGGAACTTCCTGTACATCTGCATCCAGGACTTGACATTCAGTGTCGACTTCCACACTTTCCCATGCAAAACTACTGATAACGCGATAGCCAGTTATCACTCCAATTTGACTTCTATACTCGAGCAACATGTCTAACTACAGACAGACGAAGATGCAATTCCTTCCCTAGTCTCTGTCGCCTCTAGCATCAGACACATTTCCAGGCTAATAACGCGTAAGAAAGTGTTGTAGACTGAGCTCCATTTCTACTCAATGAATTTACACGTGCATGTACTGTACTTTTTTTGTTTTTCGTCTATGCCTACATTTTGCTCGACCGTTTACGTGGAAAATCGTGTAGGCGAGCAAGGGTGCAAGGGGCTGGCCAGAAATTAAGGATAATCCTATTAGACTTAAATTAATGCCGCGGGAACTGCAGTTGCTTCGGCAAGTATTACGTTCGTCATTATTGTTATATGTATTTTTTCCCTCGTGCTTCCATTTTCTACGCGTTCCTTGATCTAACCTCTTTCATATTAATCCGACTCACAAGGCGCGAGTGGCCACAACTTTGCGTTTAAATTGAAAGCAATGCAATGAGAGTTAAAAGAAACGTCAGAGTTATAGTAGCAGGGTGGCCTAGGGTGGCTCACTCGTCCCTCCCTATTCTCTTGCTCTTCTCCATTTCCTCCCAACGACAGAAATTTCTTTATTTCATTCACTTTCCACCATCCTCCCTTCGTTCTCCGCACACAACCCCTTGCTTTGCTCCTATCCTTCCCACCCCCAGGTTCCTTCGAAATTCGTTCGCGTTACCGAGACGCTCTTATTTATCAACGAACGTCCGTTACTCGTTGAACGAGCGCCCTGCCGATTCGTCCAAGTAAAATCGAGCGTCTAAGCGCGGGCCTATTTTTTCACTGATCGCTATGTTTCGCACAATCAAGGATATGACTCGCACCAACGACGAATGAACAGCTGCTACAGAGGGTTATGCTACATGGCTGGACTTACTTATCCGAGTCTGCTGCGAGTATGGCTCATCGTAACCTTCCAGTTTGTCAGGATCTGAAAGAAGGCAGAGTGCAGTTTGAATTAGACGATTGGACTCGAGGAATAACAAGAAAAGAGAATGCGACGCGACGTCGCGTCTCACCAAGCACAAAGAGTCGCACGGCATACATTATCTTCGGTTCGCTATTAACTTGACACTCGTACTTTCCGGAATCCGACTTTTTGGTGTTATTCAGTCTCAAGGTCCAGGCGTCGCTGCCAGGCGCGTGCAGGGATGCGAATCTGGTGTCGGAACTGAATAGGAAGTCGCCGCTGGTGAGAATGTGCAGATCGCTGCTTCTCATCCAGGACACCTGAAAAGAAAAATAATGAGAGATTATCACGATGCGTGATAAAAAAGGACGAGTGCTCCTGGGACCTGAGACCTAAATTCTGAACTCGTGACCTCTGGACTCGTGCTCCTCGATTCTGGTCGAACTAGCCGGCTCCTATCCGATCCTCGTATTTTTCGGCATTCGGCCAGCCGTACGGTCGGATATTAGATATCCGGCCATCGGGTGGCAGTCATTTCCGGTCTATATCCGAAAGAGAAAGAGTAAGAGAAAGAGAGAAAGTCGCGGTACTCGGCTAGAATAGAAAAGAGTCAACCTCACGAGCCGAAAATAAACGATCTTAGTATGATTTGTTGCATGTACCGAATAGGAGGCCGTTTTACACGAGAATTGTTCACGAGAAAAGTGACGAAAAGACATATGCCCTATGATGCTCTAATGACTATGTAGGAAGGAAAAGCTTCCTCCCGTTCCTCCCTTTTCCTCTGCGATTCTGCGGAATCTTCGTAATTTTCCGAACCACTCGTTTACAGCATCAGTGTGTCCCTTCGAAACTTCAGAGGTCTTTTCAGCTCCGGCTGCCTCTTGTTTTCTCGCAATTTCTCAGGCTCTTCCTGATTTATGTAATAATAATGTAAGTCTGGCCAGGGGATGACGATACGGCTCCCCACGTTGGATAGACGTTATGGCGTATGGCGAAACGACGAAACGGTATGGCGTGGCATTTGGTCGGACGCCAGAGCTTTGGATAGTCCGAAATAGAACCGGCTTTGAGGTCGCGAAAAGGGAGGAAATGGCAAGAAGATGGCTCGTCGAGTTAGAGGGAGAAAAAGAGAAAAAGGTGAGGACGTAAGGAGGAAGAAGAGGAAGAAGAGAGAGAGAGAGAGAGGAGGAAAGCTGCTGTGGAAGACAAAAGATGGGGGAAGAGGGGCGCGGGCACATAAGCACTTTCATCTGGCCCGCCGTTCTCGTATCCGCTCTGCAAAATGCAACCGCAGTTCCCAGTCATTTCGCTTTTATTTGGCATAGCTTGTGAGCCGCATGCTCTCACACCTTCCTTGTCACTGACGTTCGCCATCATCTGCCGCCAGCCACATGCTTCGGTAGGGGATGCCCGTATTCATTTTACTCCCTTCGTCAGCCCTCCATCTGGGTTTATCCTGCTCGAAGACTCTCGCTCAGAGCAAAAGTCCGCGTACTATTTCGGGATATGGGCCAACGAGCCATGGAGCCACCGACGCGACCGACGCCACCGACGCCACCGACGCCACTGATGCCACTCAACTATGTATATGCCAAATCAACTAGTGCTCTCAGTTCCGCCACTGCTGCACCAAGTTCTCCGTTTGTTATTTCGCTCAGCGAGTCTTCCTTCGAGTTATTCACAGCCGCCCCTGATCGCTTCTCGGTTCAGAACTGTGACACGCGACGTTCGGCCAACTGGCTTCGCAGTAAGAGATAGGCGCCCCGTGCAGCTTCTTAGCGAATTAGCTTTTTCGAAACATCAAAGGTGCCTACTGCATGGGCAGAAAAGGGTTGAGCGGCCTAGAGGGACCGGAACAAAATTTAAAGTCTGCCCTCGAAAGATAATTATATCAGCGGTCGACGACGTCAGCGTCAACTTACGAAGCGCCGAAAGAGAGTTGGTGTCGGTCCATAAGAACATAAGAACTGGCTGCAAGTGCTCGGACAAATAGGTGTGAGAGGAGAAGAAATGGAAGAGTCGCGCGTGGCACGCCTTGGCAACACTTGCCGACCCTCGCCATTGCTACACTTAGCAATGAGCCCGCATTTTCCTCAGATCTCAAAGACCCATAACGCGGCACACAGTCCTCCGGCGCTCTTCCTCTTCTTCTCATCTGGTCCATCTCGTTCTATCGTAGAGCGTTGCTTCGCTACACTATGCCATTATAGCTGATAATTTAGTTTTCTCTGGTGCTATCCAAGCGTCGCTCAGTGAAATTTCAAATAGAATACCTGCTCGTTATTCTGAGAACACGTGGTTCAGTTGAAGTCAAAGAATATTCCAAGATATTAGTATTATACCGCATCAGTATTATTATATAGTTCGAGTGGGCGACCTGCTCGGTCGAAGTCATCTTCAAATCTTCTCAGTAGGTCGGATACGCGAGGTTCAAGGTCTCAAGAAAATATTCATTTCACTTTCCTGGGGCTTTTTATTTTCGGATTCGATCTACCCTTATGGAGAAACTAGCCTAAAGAAATCCGGGATTATTTGAAATCAAAAGTTATCAAAGGAGGGTGGAAAGGAGACGAAAAGCTCAAAGAAATCCTCAACAGTGGACAAGTAGCACCCCTACACTCTCCCATTGAGTTTTCTCAGCCTCCAGTTTTCTACCCAGCTTCCTTCTCCTATATTAGTGGAGTGTCGCAGCCATCCCCTAGCCTGATTTTTATTCGAGCCACACCGGCTTCGTTTATAACTTCATTCCTTCCGACGTAGCTTTGCGCGATAGCTGCCAGCGCATAGCTGAGCCCTTCTCGAGCTATTCATCACCTCTTCTGCCCTTATCCTCCACCTGGAATTCACAAATTCATTGGGACTGTCGTTTCGAATAATTCGCAAAGCTTCGAGTCCTGTTATGATACCGCGCGAAGCTTTCGTGCGATTCTCGACGCACCCTGCTTGGTAAGAAGCATAACCCGTAAACTCATAAATCGCCAGGAGTTTCCTGGGCTCAGAGAAAAATGGGGCCCGCTACCGAAACTTCCCGGAATTTTTATTTATCAGCCATGAAATTCGAGGCCGTTATGGGTTGGATCTTCGTGTCCGTGGAATGCCGATGACGATGCTTTCGGACCTTCCTCTGCCGAGGGAGGTTATGTGCCGCCGAATGCACGCACACTGCTGGTAGGAAGCTCGAGAAGGAGCTCGAGAATTAAAGAAGAAGCAAAGGAAGCAGCAGAAGAGCTTGGAGGAAAGTCCCCAGGGATTGCTCGGCTTGTGCATTGACCGAGCAATGGGATCCAGCGCATTCTTACAAACTATAAAGGAATAGTCAGTGCACGCGCTTCAGATGGTATTTTAAGATATTTCCATGAAGTTCAAAGCAGCTGCAGACAACAGTATACTCATAAAGGTATTTCACGTACGTTAAAAAAGTCAATGGGACATTAGAGGAACGCCGTATAATTGCGTGCCTTCGTTATATGTATTCCGACATTCCTCACATAAATAGGTAAATGTAAGTAGGTATGTATAACGGTAAACCTCAAGGTAAACCTAAACTTAACAAAATAACATTTTGCCAGTGGGTGCGCATCATGTGCTCAGGTCGAATGGCATCCAATGACATCGATCGGCAGAATCATTCCACTTGCGGTGGTAAATGGGCAACGGGCAACCGGGTCATAGAGAACCTGAATCTCTCTCTCTCTCTCTCTCTCTCTCTCTCTCTCTCTCTCTCTCTCTCTCTCTTCCTCCTTCTCAGGCTACTTTCACGTTTCGAGTGTATATTTCAGCGAAACAATGCTGGAGAGGATAGAATATAGGAGAGCTACGGTAGAAGGGAGAAAGGAGAAAGAGAGGTTGAAGTAACGATAGAGAAATCTATAGAAAGTAGTGGAGGAAGAATCGCGAGAGGCTACTTGCGATTCGTTCGGTGTAGCGAATACCAGGCCGAATGACATGGAACAGAAGGTAGGAATATGAATCGCAGTCCTCAACCCCGCCACCAATACACTTTCAGCCGCCCTTCCGTCCTCTATTCTCCTGATTCTCTCTACATCCGTATCTATCGGCGGCAGAGGACGAGAAGCTATATCTATAGGTGGTATACACATGTAGAGGACTGCAAATCGTCATGCGATTTCCGCACTAAGTGCTGCTAACGAATTCAATCGACCCGATTTCGGAATCCCAGCTCTTCTTCGGCCCGTATAATGTTTTGTGTCCGATAGAAGGGTTCAAGGGTAGCGAACGAGCGAATGGGTGGCTCCTCGATTATGGCGAGAGGAGTAGGTATACATTGTGACGTGATTTCTCGATTCACGGTCACAAGGCGACTCCGGCTACCGATACTACAGATAACGTTCCCGCTTTCGGATTCCCTTCGGGTCGCCACCCTGCTCAGAAGCTACGCTCTCGGGTTGATTCGTATAGTTATGCAGATGCTCTCGTAAGATTTCGTTATTGTTTAGTTGAGGTCGAGGTGCTCGAATTTGCCGTGGAGAAGCGACCGTAAACGATCTTGAAAAGTGTTGCGTACCGATTCTCTAAGGAGTGCTCTCTATTTGGTTTAAAGGGTCACCTCGAGGGAGATGGAAGAGTTATCGGCTATTAGGATCTCGTCCAATCGGAATGATTAGTTCTCGAATTTGGTTTTTGCCAAAGCAGTCTGTCTCGGGGCACCGACCGAGGTGTCACGGCTGTCACGGCTGTCAAGGCTGTCTCGCGCTCGCGTGTTGTCTGTTGACAGTTTTTCCAGCTGTGTTTCGATCCGCTATAGAAAGTTCACGCTCGTGTAGTTCTCGCGTTGCTCTCGCGATATCCAGGAAATTCAGTGGATTTCCTGTGAGTCTTCCGGAGGTGTAGTGTCGTGCCCCAGTGCAGTGCCCACCCGAGTGTCCTCTGGATGCAGTTCTCGGCCTTTACGGATTAGCTGCACCAGCTCCGGTGAGTCTCCCAAATTATTAATTGGTGAAGGGATTTCGACTTGATAGATATAGGTTGATTCTCGAAGATAGTTCGTTCTCGGATTTTTCGCTATCGGTGTCCCGTTAAGAAAGATACGTTACAACATATACATATGTAGTAGTAGGGAAATGACCGTTGTTCGATCTCATCTGGATTATGCAAGGAGGTATTAGTCCAAAGTGGGATAAACCTGCTGACAGAGAATGAAAAATAACGAAATAACAGGGTCTAGTCGCGAGGGTGCGGCTGACTTCGCAGGAACAAGGGATGAAAAGCCCAGACACAGCTTCAGGTAATTCATCATCCAGTCAATTATTGGATAATCATGGCTGACAGCGTCGTAACCGAATTAGTTGACGAGAAT